ACAGAAACACAAAGCCATTAAATGGACAATGGCTATTGGGTTTTGACCAATAGTGGCTAGGAAGGCAACATTAACGGCTCCAATGATGAATTTAAAAACGGTACTTAGAAAAGTCAGCTGTGGATGCTGGGAGGCACAGAAAGACCATAAGTGCATCAAAGTGTCCATAAGTGTAGAAATGGTGCAACTAAAACAATGCATTCTAAGTGAAAAATGGTGAGAATTCTCAATACTTGATAGAGACTCAAGAAATAGGGATTATTTATTTGATAAAAGTGCTCTGACTACTTTTTTCCCAAACAATTATTCTGAACATATTTTTCTGCCGATTCAGACTAGGTTGCTGTGCTGGTTTACATCTAGGTGTCCCTCCGATCAGGCTTTATGTGCTTATAGGTGGAGGTGTTGGGAGGTGATTGGATCATGGGTGGATTAGTGCACTGATGGGCTTATAGCTGGGTATGATGTTGGGAGGTAAAATATGGTGGGAAGAGGTGGTCACTGCGGGTGTGATCTAGAACAGTTTGGGACCCTCTTTCTCCCTTCATCCTCTCTGCTTCCTAGCCCACATGCCATGTTTCTATTCTGCTGGGTTCCTCCGCTATGTGCCACCCTGTCATGGAACCAGTCTAGTACAGACTAAAACCTCAACAAACTGTAAGTCAAAATAAACCTCTCCTCCTTTAACTTGTTGGTGTCGAGTATCCCTAGCAGTAAGGAAGTAACTAAGACAGTCACATGCTCTGCACTGTTGTATACACTGCAGTGAGACCGTATCCTTGTTTTTCCATCTTCTCTGGTTCAGAAGTAGGGCTTCTAGGAGAACCTTTCTAAGTCAGCACACTGAGTTCAGTCCACAGTTCCTTAAACTCTGTCATCTATCCTGCAGAGCACACCACATTTGTATCCCTCAAGAGGAAGGAAATAAACGATTTCTAAGATGAGCAACAAAAACCTGACCTACTGCTGGGACAGCAAACATTTCTCCATTTCAAACAGGAAGGCCCATCATTTTTGTTTGCACTAATCTAACAGACATACTATGAAACCCAGTGAATTAACATTTCCAAAGCTGCCAAGTTCCTCTCATAGGAAGCCATAAAGTAAAGTACCATCGACTTGGTACTTGACTGGTGTGTTGGACATTGACATAGTACAACACCATTTGAACTTTGGTAAGTTCAAATCCTCGCTGGGCGACATGCTGTGGTTCTGCTAAAGTCACTGAAATAATGTGTCACGCAGGTAACATTTTGAAATAAAAACGGAAGCTTGTCAAACTAAGAGAACTTCCATTTATTTTATTATGGTTAAGATCAAAGGACCTAATGCTAAGTGGGTAGATGTTCTGGACCTTTCCTGACTTCTGACAGTGACTCAGTCCATTTTATTAACCAAATGATGAATCAATGCTCGCAAAGCAGGAAAAGATGCCAGTGTCCCACTAAAAAGTGCAAAGTGTGATAAACCTATTTCCGTTAAGAAAACTGCTGGAGTTTTTATTGGGGGATTTCCCAGGCAAACAGAAGTAAAGATACATAAACCAATAGCGGAAGGTAAGCACATTTCCTCTTCATGTTTTTATCCTGGTCATTAAAGCAAACACAGTGAATAATTCAGGGCTGATTCATATCATTCTCCTCTCCAGACTGATTGAAGGATATAACCTACCACGTTCCCACTTGCGTGCTCCAGTAGGGTTGTTGAAGGGTCAGGTCACACACTCTATGGGAAGAATGTAGCAGCCACCAGGAAAATACAAACATCCCCTTCATTCACCTGTCTACATAAAGTACTATCCTTCCTCTCCATTTTCCCTTCTTCTTCATTTCCATGATTATTGGTCACACTATCAACCTCTGTGACCATTTAACAATATCCTGTACTTCCAAACCTGAATCCCTCTGCTATTCCAAGGAAGCCTGTCTGCTTATGAGTATCCATATATGTGCTACAGCCTGTTTGTTTCACACCAAAAAACATGTAAGAAGTGCTTTACCACTTTGGTTCATTACATCCTAATTCCCTGTGAGGAGCAAAATAATTTTCAAAAAAGCTAAGGGACACACCATCAGCTATATAGTACTCAACTCCAAATCTAAACAACCAGATAAATCTAAACCATGGAACACTGTAAAAAATAAATGTCCCAAGCTCTTCAAAAACCACTAATGTTCTGATATATAACAGTAATAATAAACTTCATTAGATTCAAGAAGACTAAAAAAATCCAGAATGTCTATCTACTCAAATGCACTCTGTGATTCTTATTAGAATCTCAAATCATCACAAAGGGGGGAAAACAGCAGCTACAAAGGATGCTATTTTACAAATTTGGGAAAATTCAAGTATTGCTTCACTATTACAATAGTAGTGTGCAAAGTATCTCACGTATGATTACTATATTGGCAAAATAGCAAAATGTCCTTCTCAGAAAAGCTCTACTAAATAATTATCAAGTGATAAAGAAATAACAGCTATGGAAGCAAATGACTTCCAGAGATAGAGAGACAGAGAGAGAGATACAGAGACAGAGAGAGATAGAGACAGAGATAGAGACACACAGATACATACACAGAGAGAATGGGGAAATATTAGTAACGGGTGAATATGGATGTAGTTAATATATGGGTATTCTCTGTACTAGTCTTAAAATTTTAAGAAAGATTAAAAATATAAACAAATGCAAAAAAAAGTAAAATGTTAAAATAATAAACTCTAAGTAACAGGAGTTACTAAAGAACTTGTGCACAGGCACAACTAGCATCTCTCAGAGATTCAACAAAACTGTTCAAGTAACTGGGTTGTCAAGGTGGTTGTTTTTGATCCAATCCTGGTTAAAATCTTTTGGTACACATATTGTTTCAAAGGATGTATGCAAGGAAGCATCACAGTGATGACTTTCTTCTTATATTCATGCAATTAAGAAGAAGAAAAGAAGAGATTTGCATTGAGTCTAGTGAACTTCACTACAATGGGAGATACAATTCTCTGTCAGAAAGAGTAAAACGTCCATGGCTAACAGTATTTTCAAACTAACTCGGAATGAGACAAAATGCTGAAATAAGCTCATCTCAACTTAGAGGAATATGTGAAGTAACCAGAGAATAGGTTGCTTGTTTCTGGTATCTGTGAACTTGGTGGATGGTTGCCATGTGCATTTTTTTTGCTAACTGATCTAGGATGAAACAAGGCTCTTGAGTTTTCTACTGATCATCTCATTTAGATTTGAAATTATCCATCAGACATCGTCATATGGATTTTTTCTCATCACTTCAGATTCAAACTCCTAAACTCAACTCATCATTTCCTATCTCCCCTTCCTCTCCGCCAAAGGCCTTTTCCCCTCAATACCACTGCATTTATCTTGTATTTTCAACTTCTGTCAATAGCATAATTTTTCCCTTTTTTTTTGGTACTGGGAATCAAACTCACAACCTTGCCCTTGCCAGGCAGGCACTTACACTGCTGAGCTAAATCCCCAGCCCAGTAGCGTAATTTTCATCTCAGTCTCTAGTGGTGAAACTCAGGAATGAATTTTGGCCCCTCCCCTTTATTCCACATACATATTAATAATTAGAAATTCTTTCTCCTAAATAAAACTCTAAAATAAAGTCTCCTTACTGCTTGCCTTTAATTCATGCCATTCTACTGCTCACAAGGACCCCTGCAACTCCCTCACCCGTTTCCCACATCTCCCACTCCAGCTTCAGGAACTCTACCGGTGTCCCAATCTCTTCTCTATAGGGACAACCTGATTCTATTTCCTAACAAAAAGCCTGTAATGGTTCTGTGCTTCCAGCAGAATGAAAGGGAAGTTCCTTAGCATAAAATAACATGGTTTACACAAGCCAGCCGGTCCAGTATCTTCCAATTCCATGAGTTTTGTGCGCCCTGTATGCCACTATCTTGTGTATATAAATAACCTGCCTTGTTGCGCGTCCCTACCTCACCTCTTATATATGTCCTTCTGCTGTCTGAGATGTTGTTTCCCATTTATCAATCTAGGAAAGATCTTCTTTTGATGCCTAGGTGATTGTGTCTTTCACTCACTGAACAGACTTGCTTGGTTTGTGGACCACTGATGGGGGGTAGAGCATAAAAGTATAAGAAGGGTTTCCCAATACTCCTGGAACCAGTGGAGAACTCAGAAATAAAATTATCTTGATCACAGTTTAAATATTCTCCTCCTACCTATAAGCCTTTATGAGGATGATAGTAATATAAGTTTCAGTGAACAGTCCCTTTCTGGTCACCCATATAAAATCTCATGCCCTCTTAGGCTTGGCTCCCAAGCTGCTACAGTTCAGATCTTGAAGAGGACCAAAAGCCCATGTCGAAGGCCTGGCTATCAGTCAGCGATGCTATCAGGAGGTGGTGAAACCTTTAAAAAGCAGGATCTAGTGAAGAAGTCAAGTGAGAAGATGTTAGGCCCTCCTTTTGCTTCCTGGCTGCCATGAGTCAAACAGGTTCTTAAACCACGGACTCCTGCTATGATGTACTGTGTTTCAACAAGCCCAAAGCAACAGGGCCCAGTGACCATGGGTTGAAAACCCTGAAACTGTGGTCTAAAATAAACTGTTCTTCCTAAAAGGTTGCTTATTCAACAATGGAAAGGCAACTAATACATAAGCTCACACTACTATCTACGTGACCGGTGTACATTTTTACATCTTGAAAGTACCTCAACCTGTGCATATAATACCTTAAAATCTCTAAAATCCACTGAGGAAAGTGAGAAAAACAGAGACATTCTAAGTCATTTTTCTAGCTCTTAACACTGTAGTTTAATTACCATTTCACTTGTTTTCCCACAGAAAAATATAACACAGTGAGATATTTGGTCCACGTGGTTTGTGTATGTTACTTTTAAAATGTCACCTTTGGGCAACTCAACCCACCAACAGATTATTAATAAAATTCAGCAACTGTCAAAGCTCTTCTCCATGGAGGGAGGTTTGGCGCCAACACCTATTACAGAGAGAGACAGATGGCCTTACCTCTCAGCTCCTGCGTCCACAGCTGTGAGTGGAGGTAACTGGGAGGAGGGGTTGTGGGGGCTCCCCTGTACATTATGTCCTGGAGAAGGGTGACTGACAAGATGTGGGGGTGGCCCGGCCCCAGCAGCTGTTCCACTTCGGCTCGAGTGATTACTGGAGAAAATGGGAGCTGAAAGCAAAGGAGAAGCATGAGACTGCACCCCAACAGAAGCCACATTTTCTAAACACCAAAGGCTGACAGTAAGCATATTTTGGGAGCTTGTTTGTTTTTCCCTGGGTGGCTTTTAGGGAACCTGCTCTCCTTCTTGCATATACACAGCTTGCGTTTCTCTGGTGGAACATGTTACTCGGGTCCTGGGTCTTTCCTGCCTTCTCAGGTGCTCACATTCAGCTTGCTCCGAGTTGACATTCACTGTCTGGCTCCTGAGTACTGCAGTGCCCTGCCAGCTCCCTGTCTGGACAGTGTATAATTAGTCAATCTTGTGCTGTTCGCACCTACGCAAAGGTTTCTGTGTTCACACAGTTAGTCACAAAGGACGAGAGTCAGGTAACTGAATATCTGATTAGGTGACTAGCAGGGCACAAGACAGGGCATCTTGTACTTCTCATGCTTTGGACAGGCTCTTTCTGTCACTGCTAAATCAAAGTTAATGAGATCAGTGCTTCCCTGATCCGAACACCAGCACAGAATCTTCTACCATTTTAACTTCCAGTCTTAACTAAACCAGGCATTTCCCTGATGATGTGATGAATATACTTGGCCTTTATAAAAAAATAAGTCCTCTCTCAAGACCACAAACCAGTAAAAAGAGGCACAAATGCAGCTACAGGACCTTTCTTCCCCCACCATCACCTACCATGCCAGAGGCTGTGAGTTAGAGCTCCATTCCCAGGGCCAGACTTGCCTTTGAGAGCTGTATGTGACCTCAGACTTGAGTATGTGCCCATTTAGATCAGCTAATTGGGGCAATGTCAGGGAAGAATCTGGAGCTTGTCACTCTCAGAGTCTATCAGAAAGGCTCTCAGTGTCGGGGACCTGCTCTGCAGACGTGTGATCATAGCAGCATCGTTATGTAGACTCTCTTTAACTCCCCGCTCTGTACAAAGCTATGTACAAAGAACAGAATCTCTGTGCTTTTTGAACTTACTCTACTAATATCAAAGAATAAATTGCTTTTATTTTAAATAAAAGAAATCAAGTTCAGGATTGAAAAAGAGAAGTCACATTATCAAAAAGATTTTAGGGTTTAAAAGTTCAAGGAGTTGTATTTTTAGACCAGTAACACTTTGCTCCGGTCTCTCTAGGATAGACTTAAGACCCCAGATGACCCAGCCTCCAAAAGCTTAATCCAATGGAACAAGAGTTCAACTGTTTCAAGGAACATGTGAAGAGACAGAATTACCATCTTCCCGCTCAAAACGCTACTGACAGGGGTGTGATCTAATTTGAAGGGTTTATTTCTGGTAAACCATCATTGTGTCAGGTTAATACTTGTCCTCAGAAATCTGCATCCTTCACAACCATCCCGGGCTTTGAGAGGTACTGAGGTCAGAAAGTGCTTACCAGCTCAAAGAGGCACCAACCTTCCAGGGTGTGTGTATGTGTGTATGTGTGTGTGTGTGTGTGTGTGTGTGTGTGTGTGTGTGTGTATGTGTGTGTGTTGCACGTCCTTCCATAAAAGTTGCACATTTGCAAACTCACTAGAGTCACCTTATGAATCACTACCCTCATTTATGCTCTGCTAGCTCAGGGAACCACAATTCTGCTTATATTCCAAATAATAATTTCACCCAAGGGATAGAGCTGTTTGGAATGATTGTGGCAACAGTTTTAATATTGGTGTTTGTCAGCATGGAGCTTGGTGTTTTATATACTATTCCAAAAACTAATGGAATAATAAGAGGTCATAGAGACACTGTGGAAACACAGCTAACTTTCCCCCTTTCTTTACTGTGGAAATGTTAGTTCTCTTTTTTATTTTGTTGTAGCTGCTGAATGCACCCATCACTTATGTTCCCCTGGAGGTAGTTTTGCATGTGTGTGTTTGTGTTTATTACAAGGGAAGCCTTGCCCCTGCTGTTTACAACCCGGTGGGCAACAGGGAAACTTGACGTGCACACTTTCTGCTTTACTACATGGCTTAAAAGAAAATAAGCTGCTTCCAAGAGGCCTATGTTCACTGCAGACGTTATATTTAGCACTAACTGCAATAAAACAGGCCGGAATATCTGGGATATATAGCCTGTCACTCACTGAAAGGACTGGTTGCGGCTTCTTTGTTATTCTGCTTAACTCACCTCTATTTCATAATAAATAGAATGAGAACAGAAAAATATTACAAGCTAGTAGAAGTTTATAGTGCAATGTTTACATCGAGCATTCTTCATGCAAAGTCCAGCACATGACTGCTGGCTGTAGAAGTAACCTGTGACCAAAATAATTACAAAACTGTGGAGGACAGACTGAGACACAGGATCACTTTCCAGTAGTCTTCCAGTTCCCATCTTACTACACATCCATAAAAATGGACAGCGCACGGCAGTCAGACAGTTTATTGCTTCAATAGACTTGTCCTTGATCTCTACCAAAGACCTGTAATTCTCAGGAATTGCCATGATGGCACAGAAAATGGCTTGTCTATCTATATTAATGTTTAGGAATATCTGACCTTAATACACCATGCACTCAGAATATAGTCTTAATTACAACAGTCTAAAGATATTATTTTGTCCATTCAAACACAGTATTCCAGCACCAATATTTTAAGACTATCTGTTGGTTTCTCAGAGACCTGCCTTTCATAACATATGTTTTCAGATAAATACTTAGGCTTTGACAAGTGAGTTTTAACCTCAAGAGGAAACATTGCAAAGTCCCTTGCAAAAGGCAAAATCTCCTTCTACTCACACTCAAAAATGATTTTCCCAAAATCAATGGGACCCATAATGCAGCCTAACAATCAAAGCAGCGAAAGGAGAGAAAAGATCTCTTCAGAATACAGGGCAATATTAACAAAACTGTTGTGATCAAATTAACTGGCACACACAGGCTGCCCACGGGGTTGGGCTTCATTGTCTGCGTCACCTTGGGGGTCAGTGCTATGCTCAAAGCTGGACTAGGGCTTTTAAGTGAACTTCCAGACACATGCTGATGACTGGCAGTTGGAACAACTGATTAGGCACGGCCGAGGAACATATTGGAAGTCCTTATTGCTTTTGTGATTAAGAGATGGTAGACTCCCCAAGGAAATAAAAGCCTGGCCTGGTGATGAATACATGAGCCTTGCCTGCAGCAGAGGACCAGGAGCAACCCTCCTGCTGCTTGCTTCAGTCTCTCGCTCTCTGGCTCAACCTGCCTTGCTACCGTCCCCCTACCCTGACTCCATTAGAGGTAGGAGGAGATGACTCAGTGGGCTTCAGAGCTTTTGTGAAGCAGCATCTGTTGGTATACTCTATATGGCTCTCAGATGCTCTCTCATCGGCTAGCAGGACCAGGGCATTTTAGGCTAGTTCCTTTAAGCTAGCTTTAGGCTAGCTCAGGTTAATCAGGGTTCATTGGCAGTGCTATGTCTTCCCAATGAAAACAATTAATCTGTACAACTAATGCGTGCAGACAGGAACCCTTGAGGATACTTCATCTGAGAGATATTTATTGTGTAAGTGCAGGGAGGCAAGAAGTGTTAAGAGAGTCCCCAGAAAAAGACTGCCTAAGTCATATTCCTCCCCAGAATCAAGGCAGGCATTCCTGGGTAACTATTTTCATTGTCAGAAGGCAAGGATGGAGATGCTTTTATCAGGCTGAGATACATTAAAACAGTCAGTACGCTTTCTTATACAAAATTGTTTAGGTAGCTATAGCCCCACTATAATAGTGAAATTTTAATAGTGAAGTTTTAATAGTGAAATTTAAAAAAAAACAGTAAGATGAATATTGATTCACAAGGTCTTCAGGCCAAAGAGTACAGTTTCTGAACTTTTAACAAGCTCCCAAAGTGGTCTGGGGACTACACTTTCAGTGGCAGATAGCAGGGAACCGATAGTTGTGACATATAGAGTCCTTGTAATACCAAAAACTAAAAGCATTTCTCCAGTTTACTGATGAGGAACTTGAGGTCTAATTTAGTTTCTGGTTAGGTTACCTGGCGGAGGTTACATTGTGGGTGAATAGCAAAGCTGGAATTCAAACCAGGAAGCCAGATTTCAGATCAAATGCCCATAATCACTACTCCTGAGAGTGTGCATGGTGAATCAGGACCCTGTGCACTCTTTAAACGCTGGTGAGGCTGCTTCGATTTAAGAGGCACAAGAACAGCATTAACCATTACACTTCCAAAGAGAACAAGGAAAGAATTCTGTTCCTATTTCTGTCTCTACTCATCCTAACAGCACCTTAGCATTGACGAGAGAAATTTACAGCCTTGAAATTTAATTCGGGCAAGAAATTAACTGAATTATTTGGTTTGGAAAACAAACAGCTGGTAGGAAATGTGCTTTCTCCCAAATAAAGATTTCAGATGCTTGTCAGAGGCATATTGATCCCATAGTGGGGAAGAAAGGCAGGCCTGGAGGGATTATTCGTGAGCAATCAGCAATATGCGCCCTTTACCACAGCAAGTACAACATCCTGGGCTGAAAGGCTATCATCTGTCAATAAAGCACCAAGAAGAGATTTATTGTGCAGATCTGAAGCCGCTAAGCTGTTTAGCAAATTTGCATTTGGAGTCACTTATGGTTGTTGAAAAGCCATAGTACTGCCCTCACTTGTTCTTATGGAAAAAGGAAAAATAGTCATATCCATGGGCTGTGAATTCATTTATGTGTGTCACAGTAATATTGGGATCCTGAGAAATAATATTAATTGCTAGGTACATGGGAGTGGGGAGGGCTGTCCATTCATTCATCTCTCAGGCAGTATTTCCAGGGACATGGCACAGAGGGTCAGCCAATCAATGGAACCAAGGTAAACTGGGTTTCTCAAAGACATTAAAAATTACTAGGGAACTCTGCTGAATGGGGAGTTCAATCTTGTCTTTCTGTCCTCTCCTTAGGGGAGAATTTTGGACTTGGAAAAAGTTCAAGGAACAGCTGAACTGCAGTGCCAATGTTAGCTTCTTCAACCTCATCAGCCATTGAGCACTGCAGAGTGTCAGGGTGGTTATTAACAGAACA